TTGAGCTGCATGTTTGTGTGCATATGCACATGAACAGGCATTATTTGTAACAATATTATTTTTATGTGTATGATATGCTCATCAATATAGTTAATATTAGATTTGTCTTTAGATAAGAAAAGTAAGTATTGTTAAATATGTTTTTTAAAAGTATAGTGTGAAAGATACACAAAAATAAGATCCTACTCAGTCAATATTTTGGAATCTGGTCTGGATAGGTTCATCACAGCTGATATTAAATTGGCAAAATCAAGCAATATTTTATGCAAATATTTAGAGTATGCAGCAATACAGACCATATAAATCCTCTCTTTAACAAGGGAAGTGTTGACTTCATGCCAGTTGTGGTGCTGAGCCTCCCGTTTGTCTATGTAATAACCCAGAATATTTGATCCACCACTATATCTTGGAAGTTTCCAGCCAATGGTCATGGAATGGCCATTACAGTTGAGAAGTGTGATACCATAAGGATAGGATGGGCAAGCTATAAAAGTCAAGCAAATGTCTCAATAGTTCATGTAAAAACAATAACATAAAATTACTTTTATATTTTGATTATATTTTGATGAATTTATGGATTGACTTGTCTAATAAAATGATGTATGTACAATGCAGTCTTATGCATGTTTTCTAAGAGGTAAGACTCTTTATAGTAATTGGGGATTATCCATAATAAATATACTTTTAAATTTAAATGTGCTGGAAGTTAAGTAAATTTAACCAAAATGTTACTTCCCACTCTGTCTGAACAATATTTTCTTCATTCTGTCTCCATGATTTTGTCTGCCAAAATAATTACCCTAAAATCTTAGACGCTCTCCAAAATGAGGCTGTTCTCTCTAACTTCAGTTTACATGTATTCTTCTTTGACAGTAGTTTCTTTTCAGAATCCAAGCCCTTTCCCATAGCAGGTACCCACATTTTCATGTAACAAGTATTTATCATGTGGAAACTTACAATAATATGAAAAGTCCCCATGCTACTAGTACATGGAGGCATCAACATTCTTCAAGAAAGGATGGGAAAAGTTTACATTAGTCAAAGTAGGAGCTGATGCTATTGGCTGTAGTTACTGTGGTGTTACTATGGGAAAACAGCTTGCTACATGAAGCAGACCACTCCTTAATGTGCATGGTTGCCTCTTTACAAGTATAAGCCTGACAAAATCTCACTTACTGAGAGCCGCCTGTACTGTGATAGGGTCAGACTCCTGAGAATTTTCACTCATCCCCACTGCATTTGCTGCTTTCACACGGAAGATGTATTTCTCTCCAGTTGTCAGGCCATGCACGGTGAACCTAAAAAAATAGGGGTGTGAGCTGCTCTTGCTGTTTAATTTCAAAGGCATATGCTTGGACCGTTACAAAATGAAAATTCCTCCCCTATCCATGCAACTAACATTCATGTGAGCGAAAGGGGCATGAGATGGAAAACCATGAATCTACAAACATACCCACACTGCTTTTAAAATAGGAGGCCTAAACGTGTTGTCAGTCTAGATATACCCAAAGGGATTTCTGCAGAATGTTCAGCCAGCTTCCCACTTACACAGAAAATGGCTCAGAGAAATTGCACTTGCTGTTTTCAGAGAAGATTGTTTCCGCTTGGCCCATTGTGGGTATAGGCCACTCACTCACCGTTTCCTGAATGCAGGATTGAATGACATCCTCCTCCTGCCACTCCCAGCCAATTGCAAATGCCTTTGTTTTCCAGCTTTAATTCAAAACTACTGTTTTCCAACTTGAGCTGCCTTAAGCCTTTTAGTGTGGATGGTCCCCAGCACTTCATTCCATTCCAGTAACAGCCCCACCTCTGATTGGCTGCAATGCTGGCAACTCCCTCCCCTCCAGCAGCCAATCACTGTCCTGTGCAACCACTGACCTGTGGTTGATCCAGTGATGGCCCATTAAATCAATGGATTATCCTCAACATAGAACAGGGGTCCTCAAAGTACAGTCTGCGGGCCGGATACAGCCCACCAGGGTCATTTATCCGGCCCGCCCGCCCG